GAGTGCCACAACTACAGAGCCTACGTGCCCTGGAGCCCATGCACCACAACTAGAGAGAGAAAACCGACACACCGCAACTAGAGAAAAGCCCGCGTGCCCATAAATAAATATTAAAAAAAAAAAAACAACAACGAAAACAGCAAACATAAAAAGTCTTGAAGACTCTGGTATGCAGCAAATCAAGAAGTAACCAGACAGGTAGAGGGAAGGGTAAGGGTGTGTGTGTGTGTGCGTGTGTGCGTGCGTGTGTGTGTGTGTGTGTGAGAGAGAGAGAGAGGGAGAGAGAGAGAGAGAGGAGGTGGGGAGAGGGAGGAGAGAGGTATTAGGGAGAAGACACAGCTAGAAAGATCTCAAAGAACTTGAACTATCAAAGGTATATGAGCGGGACTTCAATGCAGGGGGCCCAGGTTCTATCCCTGGTCAGGGAACTAGATCCCACATGCATGCCGCAACTAAGGAGCCACGTGCTGCAACTAAAGAGCCGGCAAGCTGCAACTAAGGAGCCCTGGAGCCGCAACTAAGAAGCGAGCCTGCCTGCTGCAACTCAGACCCGGCGCAACCAAATAAATAAATATTTTTTAAAAAAATGAGCTGGAAAGTGATATGGTCAGCACTGTGTTTTGGTCTAGTCCTCAGATCAGAGTTAAGAGATAAAAATAGTGAAATCATGGGAGTTAAGACTGACCCAGAAAAAAAAAAAGTACAAAGACAGAAAAAGGATGAAGATTAAATCCTGAGAAATAATTATACTGGGGAGAAGAGGTGAAAAACACATGAGATTTGAGAGATAGGAAACCAAGCAGAGAATGGCATAAAACCAAAAGGGAAGCATTAAGTAGCAAGCAAGCAACAATATCAGAATAGAGGATGAATGTATCCGGGGAGACTCTCCTTTGGTAATCAGGAGGTTGCTAGTGATCCTGAGACTGACAGTTTTAATATAATTGGGTGGGGGTACGGAGAGAGCCAAGTCATAATAAATTAAGGAAAAAGGTGAAGAATTATAAAAGAAGCAATTGGGGGCTGCTTTTCTAAGAACTATGACAGTGAACGGAAAGAGAGAAAAGGGCAGAGGTTTGAAGCCAAAGAAGAGTACAGGTTAAGTTTATATGAGGGGGATAGGTGAACTTTCTTATCCTCATAGAAGTGAGAATAAAGGAGACTGAAACAAAATAACAGGGGACATGCTGCTAAGTCCTGGGGGGAAAAAGAAGGCTGAACAAGAACAAGTGGAAGCAGGCAATGTAGCAGGTGCCTTGGAAAAGAGGAGAATATAGGGGAAACTAGAAAAGGTTGTGGTATTATTGACCAAGAAAGTTAAGGGCATTCAAACAGCTGGATAAAGTAATGTGCTAAGAATTAAACAGGGTTAGGTTTAACAAAATAAGATTTCAACAACAGCTATTTGGAATAGGATAATCACTTGGAAATGAAGAAAATGTGCACTGAAGGCCTAAGTGGTACGGCAAAAGTAAAGGAACAAGAAGAATTATATGTTAAAACAGCAAACTTAAAGCAGTAATATTGAAAGGTTTTGGGAGATATAAACCCCCAAGCAACTGATAATTGTATATGTAAAATTGTACAACACAAATATTTGTATATCCAAAAGATTTCCCAAACCCAGCAATAGCCCACTTACTTTAGTAAATATAATTATTATTACAATCAAATTCCAATATGAAATAAGTAGGTGGTTTTTATCGCATTGTGTTCTTTCAAGATTCACAGCAAAGTTCTGAACCTTGTTATCTTTCATAAACTTATTAGCTATCCCTTCGAACTCTTCATCCACAAATTCAATAAACTTAACTCCAACCAGGTTACTGGTACACAGGAAGAGGAC